GAGGCTAATAGGAAGCGACTCCGATTGATAAGTGGGATAAGAGGGAAAATCTGGAAGGCCCCGACGAGCTTAATTTGGCGTAACGGAGAGAGACTACCATATGAAACCTCAAGGAGATCACAGCCGCGGAGATGAATCACGTTTCTTCTTCGCCTCGACGAGGCTTTCAAGAGGCTGCATTCATTCTGTGGATGAGATAAGTTGAGTTGACGCATCCCTCGACAATGAGAGAATACTGGAAAGTCCTGGAATATCTTATCGGACCGCGGGCGCGCGTCCTAAAACCACGAAACGCTTCAGCTCGCGGGACAGATAAGAGCGGCAAAGTAAGAGATTATCGAAAGTAAACAAGACTCTAGCTTTTAAACTTTAAAACGAATTACAGCGGATACCTCGGGCTGCCGAGGCTCGCGGCATCGAGAGATCCCGAGAAAACGTCACCAAGTGACGTGTATAATTTTCCTTGAAGAAAAAAGAAGAAACTCCGCTCGACGAAGTCGTCGAGGCGCATGTCATTCGAGTCCCGAGTCGAGACGGTCGTGCGTGCGTGCGTGCGTGCGTGCGTGTTAGCAACTTCGTGAAATATTCGCTCGCGAGTGCGACTCGAGTGCTCGAATTCCACGAGTCCGCACGTCTCCACGGCAGACGGCTGAATAGGACGGAGAGGAAAGAAAAAAAACACGAGCGCGCGCGCGCAAGGTGAACAACGGCGTTGTTTACGAGCGACGAGGGAGCGAGAGGAGGGAATTTTGCCGAGAGGATGAATGGGACGGGCGGCCATCGGCGTGAAAACGAGTCTCGGGCCTTTCGGATCGGGTCGGGGAAGAAGTTAGGTATGCGGCTCCGCGTCGCAGCAGAAAACGTCACGTCGGCGAACGGCTACCTGAGGCGACGGGCCAGAATGCACGGCCGGAACCAGGCCCGCAATACGGGACGCACGTACCGTCTGGGACCCGAAACGCGACCGTCGCTCGCTGCGCGAATTTGCGTTTCTCTGGCCGCCGAGAGACGAGGACCGTGCGACGTGCGTTCGTTCGCCGTAAACACGGGTGGGGAATGGCAGCTGGAATATACACGGGACGGACGTTCGTCGACGAGAAAACGGCGCGCGCGCGGAAAAACGGCAGACCCATTTTCGGAACGGCCCCGAGGACCGGAATCTCGCAAGGTGGAAGCGGATCGCGCGAGAGACGAGAGACGAACGGAGCGCCCGCGGCGCGGTGCGGGAGAGGAGCGACAAGGACGAACGTACGCGGCGGTCGCGACGGCGAGAGAAAGAGAAAGAGAGAGAGAGGGAGAGAAAGAGACACACAGAGAGACGGAGAGAGAAAAGAGGGTGGGAGCTATAGCTGGAGACTCACCCAGAGCTCGGTGCCCCAGCTCATGTTTGCTGGGCCGGGTAAACCAGCGGGCGCGACGACAAATAATTATCCTCGCGAGACACTTCACATGTAGCGGCGACGTTGCGTGTCGCGCGCGCGCGCGCGCCTCGCTTCACTTCGCGCACCTCGCGGCTTCCACTGTACCCGTACCCGCGCACCACTGCACGACTGCACCGCGGCGACGACGACGACCGGTGGGCGGGTGGGAAGGAGAGGAAAAAAAAAGGGAGAGACGAGACCCCCCGAGAAACGCACGGGAGAATCGCGCGTCAGAGATCGCCCGCCACGCGCGCGCACGGTCACACGGACATGTCCAACATGTCGATCTCGTAACCACCGACTGCCCGCGCCTACCCTGCCACCGTCGCTATACCGCCGTCGCACTCGGGACTGACCGCCGCGGCGCCGCCCGCGCCGCCTGAAAACCGCCCGGAATTCCGCCGTGGCGCGCTCTACCGGCGGCTCGCCGAGCGACGCCGCCGCCGCCGCTAGGGGCGAGTGCGCGTGCGCGTGCGCCGCTCGGGCGAGCGCGCGTGCGCCGCGCGAATATTTGAATCGGCGGAGAGACGCGTGCCAGACGAATGACGCGTTATTGCGATTAATTAAAAGTGTCATTAGCGATGATTAATTAAACGCTTGTTGCTTGCGCGCGATAAGTCACGCGTCGTGCGTATTTGCACGTATTCCGATCGTTTTAAATACGCAAATATGCGAATTAACCTCAGATTGATTGGCGAAACGTGCGAACGTCGAATTCGTGAATATCTTCTTGCAGAGTCGATTAAGTCGACTAAAATTCTTATAAAAGAAACAACGCAGAATTGAATGACGAACTTGTAAACAAAGTAATGACGATACGTGTATGTGAACGGTAATTACGCGCACTTGGTAATCGTCGCGAAAATTAAACGATAAGATTGAAACTGGTGGATTATTTGCTGCCGAGAGAGAGGGATCGTTTTATGCATAATGATCGGTTCGCGTCGACTTGTGACGTTCGCCCGCACAGTCGCCGAGGTGCGTTTGTCCCAACATGAATTAATTTAAATCACAATCGATCTCGCAGCTCGCGCTCGCTGAGCTCGCAGCCGCGCGGACAAAATGGCGCTGGATGACTCGGGCGAAGTGTCAAAGGTCGTTTACTCGCGAGATAAATAATTAATCTTTCGTTTCCGACGGGCTCGATTAGCCGATCGCGTTTCGTGCTCGCCGACCGCATGCGATCCCGATCGTGACACATCCTGTCCCGAGTGGATTTTTCAGCGGAGAGGGAGACATGAGTACCCACTATTATGGAGGTTGTGTATATTTACTGCCTTGATACTTAATTCCCATTCACCGCTAGATTTCCGTTGATCGATATACGATTTTCCACACGGCACGCTGCGCGTAGTCGTGTTTATTTACGTCAATCTCGAAAGTCACTGACAATCGCAACCTAATTTTTACTATGCTACGGAGATCAGAGACGTAACCTAAGAAGATGCCAAGTGTCATTAGTCCGTAGACTTCGAGGAGATTCATAATATTTTTTTTTTGTACGAGAAAGTTATATCACTGAGTTGACATTATTGCGTTATACATTGCGTAACTTATACACGTCATAAATTCTAAAACAACGACACATGTCGATGGTAATTATTTTGTGAATAGTTATTATAAATGTCATTACCTTTCATATTTATTCCGTGTATAAAACATTTTTTATTCTTGAGGATAGATTGAAATTTGTATAATCTAGTCGGTAATATAATTTTGATAGTAAAAATCTGAATTTTTTTTTAGCAAGAATCTAACTGGCGTAATAAGAAGTTAACAATGGATTTTAGTTGACATTTTCCATTGTTTATCCATTGATCATAGCACATGGAAAAAATATATCTTGTATTTTTACTTAGGAAAATAATATATGTATTTTTGAGATGTATTAATGATAGAATGTGTGTTAAACACAGGTGATAGAATTATTTAATAAGTTCAACGAGAGCCTGGGATCATACATATTTTCAAGATGGATTGGGAGGTTCATAGAGGAATATCAAACGTCGAGGACGATTTTCATCATTGCCACAATTTTACTCCTTATTTTTTTAATTGCGTCGATCTTCGTGGTACGAAAATGGAAGAACAAAGAATTTTTGCCGGAGGTGAAAGAGTTTGTTGGAGTGGGCACTGGGAAGCCGAGGTTCAGGAAGAGAGACAAGGTTCTCTTTTACGGCAGAAAGATGTTGCGCAAAGTAAAGTCCATTGGTGGTCAGGTGCACCCCACTGGACAAGGGAAGAAGAGACGAGCGGTCATGAGATTTGCTCGTCGATTGTTACAACTTAAGAAGGACACTGCCCCGCAACAACTCAAGGTATATTTCGCGACAGTTAACCAACGATTATTGATATATGTTTATGTGATATATATCTAAGCAAATTTATTTAATTTCAAGGTGTTGGAGCCACCGGCTGAATATCTGGAGGAAGATCTGGGGCCTGGCGAGCGAGTACCACCAGATGCTCTGTACATGTTGCAAAGTATTAGAGTTTTTGGCCACTTTGAAAAACCTGTATTCCTGAAATTATGCAAGTACACGGAAATCATGACCTTACCTGCTGGCAGTACATTGTTTAAAATCGGAGACCCCGACGAGAACTTATTTATAGTACAGCAGGGTTTAGTCAATGTATATATCACTGGACCCGATGGCTCTCAAATATCGTTAAAAGTGGTAAAAACAGGCGAGTCCGTTACCAGTCTTCTTAGCTTTACTGATGTACTTACCGGGCATACAAGTACATACAAAACTGTATCGGCAAGAGCTGTAGAAGATTCTGTTGTAGTAAAGTTACCAATGAGCGCATTTCAAGAAGTAAGTTTTATACATTTATGCCTATCTTATATTCTCTTTCAGTATTATGTTATACTATATAAAAATAAAATATTGATATTTCATGAACAATGTTGATATTATTTCAGGTGTTTCAAGATTATCCTGATGCCTTTGTTCGAGTTATCCAGGTCATTATGGTACGGTTGCAGAGAGTTACCTTCACTGCTTTGCATCAATATCTCGGCCTTTCCGCGGAATTAGTCAATCAGGGATCGCACAAGAAGAAACAGAGTCCGTTTTCCGGTTCGCCGGTACGATCAAGAACCAGAGAGAACTTTGCCTCGCAAAACGTCGAGGGTATATACAGTACATCGGAAGTGCACGATATCAGCGACGTTTCTCAACGTGATGCACTTAATTCAAGCATTTCTCAACCTGTGCCCATCCGACGGTAAGACATTTTTTAACTAAAATATTAATTATATCTCTTTAATTTAATATATTAAATAAATTAAGCAAATTTTGTTAAAGTAATCAGACTAATTATTTGGAATTACTTCGTTACTTGACAGGAAGAGCAATGTCGATTGGAAAAATCAGGGCTCGGTAGAGATGGTACCAGAATGCGACTCTCACTGGGCAACACCACCTCACGCGGCAATGTCTCAGTCCACACACGGATCACATCCAGAATCCACTCATTCGGGAAGTACTTATTCCGGTAAAAAACGCCAGGTCAACGAAGCGGCGCAGCAACAGCAACAACAGCTGGATGAAGCGCAGCTGGTACAGATAGCCACTGACGCGTTCGTTCGTGAACTTGGCATAGAGGACGAGACGGTGCTCAAAGACAAAGTGGAGATCAGGGAAGTGCCGGCTGGTACTTATCTGATGAAAGAAGAATCTCATAAGGTTTGTCATTTTGCATTTGTCAAATATAAGCTGTATGTTGCGTATAAAAGGAAAGGATTATTTTTCATATATGCAGAAATATTACCAAAATTTAATTGCGTTATAGGATGTCGCACTCGTATACGTGCTTTCGGGCTCGCTGATAGTAAGCCAACGCGTATCGGAAGGTCGAGACGCAGGCCAAGAAGTGCATATGTTTAGCGCTCATCAGGGTGAAATTGTCGGTGGTTTAGCAGTGCTAACCGGCGAACCATCCTTTTACACAATTAGAGCGAAGCATTCTAGCCGTATCGCGTTGCTCAGTAAATTGACGTTCTTCGCTATCATGCGGGAACAACCTACAGTCGTGTTGCACGTGGCACATACCGTCGTTCGCAGATTAAGCCCTTTCGTGAGACAGGTAAGAATCTGAAAAAAAAAACTTATTAAAAGAAGAATTTCTAATACATTGTTACAAGAGAGAGAAGTCTTCGGTTGAGCTGAATCTTTGTAGCCTAATATTTTGTGTGAATTTATACTTTTTTTCACTTAACAAACTGCGCGTCGATTATTTGTTGGTCTTGAAGCACAAGTTTTTATTGGAACAATATATTCACATAATTATATTACTGTTTCTTGGACAGGTGGATTTCGCTCTCGACTGGTTGTTCCTTGAAAGCGGACGGGCCGTTTACAGACAAGGGGATGAATCGGATTCGACATTCATTGTGTTGAGCGGACGATTGCGGTCGGTAATCACTTACAAAAACGGCAAAAAAGAACCGGTAGCAGAATACGGAAAAGGTGACTTGGTAGGAATCGTAGAGATGGTCACGCAGACTCCAAGGTCGACGACAGTCATGGCAGTCCGGGATTCCGAGCTGGCGAAGCTACCGGAAGGTTTATTCAACGTGATCAAACTCAGATATCCAATTGTCGTCACGAGATTAATCAATCTTCTCGGTCATCGCATACTCGGCACCTGGCAACAAGCACATACGAAAAATGGCAGCACTGATACGCAGTAAATATAATTATCGATATATTAAACAATTGATCAGATCATTATTGTTACATAAATCAAATGTTTTGTGTTTATAATGTTATTAGTGCGAATTTATTTTTTAATTAGAGAAATGTTATTTTACAGACGTGCCGCAGCAACGGTTGATGCTAGACCCGCACAAGTAAACTTTTCGACTGTTGCCATAGTGCCGGTGTCGGATGATGTACCATTAACTTCCTTTACTTACGAATTATATCATTCTTTATGTGCCATTGGACCCTGTCTTCGTTTAACGTCAGATGTCGTAAGAAAGGTACTGTATTGCAATTGCGAATCTTGATTATTCTAATACTTATCTTGATATAAATTAACACCGCTCGTGTATATTATACATATAGCATAACTTAATTCTCTTTAATTTATTTATTATTTTTTAAATTTAATCATTTCATAATAAAAAAGATGATTAAATATTAAGTCTATTAATTTCTCGGAAACAATTAATAACATATTAATCATCAATTTTATTTTTTGTTACAGACTTTAGGAACGACCATCATGGAACCTGCAAACGAATACCGATTAACTTCCTGGCTTGCACAGCAGGAAGATCAGCACAGAATCTCTTTGTATCAATGTGATTCGAGTTACACGCTATGGACTCAGCGATGCGCGAGACAGGCTGATTGCATTCTTATCGTTGGTCTGGGCGATCGAGCGCCATCGATTGGTCGAACGGAACGTGAGATAGAACGGCTAGTAATGCGAACGCAGAAAGAACTGGTGCTATTACACAAGGAACAGAATGGTCAACGACCAACGAACACCGTTCAGTGGTTGAACATGAGATCATGGGTATCCAGCCATCATCACATCCAGTGTCCGAAGCGGATGTTCGCCAGAAGATCGCTGTACAGAATTGTAAGTAACGATCAACCAGGAATTCTGAATTGCTTACGATCTGCTTTATTTTATTTGTTATTAGTAAAAAAAAATTTATTTTGCGAATATTAATGAGAGAAAAGTGTAACTACACTTTATAGTCTAATCTAAAATATGTCGTATCGCAGAATGAATTATACTCCAAAGTGCTCACGTCCGAGCCGAACGTACACAGCGATTTCAGTAGACTAGCGCGATGGTTGACCGGCACGTCGGTCGGTCTCGTCCTGGGTGGAGGTGGTGCAAGAGGCGCTGCTCATGTGGGCATGGTGAAGGCCATCATCGAGGCAGGTATACCCATAGATATGGTTGGTGGTGTCAGCATCGGCGCCTTTATGGGTGCGCTGTGGTGCATGGAAAAGAACATTACCACTACCACACAAAAGGCTAGAGAGTGGTCTAAGGTGAGACAAAATAGATTTCGCGACTTCTATCGCTCTGTACTTTGGATTCTCTTATCACTGTGAATTTCTAAAGCACAATATGTAAATCTGTAGAATTATAATCTTCTTTAATTCTAATCGTCTTCTTTCAAATTATAAAATATAGAGATTTTATCTAAATTTATTTCTCTCTTTTATCTTAATAATTGCTTTTAAATCCTTACCGTCGAATCGTGAAATGTTCATAATAATGTAAAAAAAAAATCTGTTGGCAGCAAATGACGCAATGGTGGCGGCAGATTATGGACTTGACTTATCCGATGACTTCGATGTTCTCCGGTAAAGATTTTAACAAAACGATACAGCAGACTTTCGGCGACACATATATAGAGGATTTGTGGCTCCCATACTTCACTATAACCACAGACATCACGGACTCCTGTATGCGCACGCATAGACACGGTCTGTAAAAATATATAGTACTTTGCATTTTTTAATTCTAAATTGACAAAGCTTCTAGTTTGATTTACTTTTCGTACATTCAGCCATTGATGTTCACACGCATTTTTGATTTTTAAATATAAAATTGTACGATAAATAAGATTGTTATTCATATGATAAATTTTTTTTAATGATTTCAAGGATTCTGCAAGTTTAATTTAATGAATTTTCCAGAAATATAACTAGAAGCTTTGATATGTTATTGAGAATACTTGCAATATATCCAAAGTGATGAAAGTGATGAATCAAAAAGTAAATACGTAAGAGATGTGTTTCATTTTATAGATAATATCTAAAACTACTTGCAATCAGCAATCGGTTTTAGATGTCTGTATTAAAAATGGAAACATGAAAAATTGTTCTTACTTGATTCACACTAACAGCTTTGTCGTGGCATGTAGATTTTTTTGGTTTTAAATTTTATACACATTAGCATTAGTAGAAGCTTTACGAGCGGGAGTGAGCTTTTTGGATAACCATTGTTGACGTACTCTCCGTTTAATGCAGATTTTAACGAGAAAAGCGAATGAGGCATATTTTTATTTTCACTCGAATGTATAAAAATTATAAATTGATGTGCATATACTTCCTGTATGCTTACTACTGACAATGAATTATGATATCGAAAAAAATACGAGATTACTCAATCTATTAAAAACTACTATTTAAAAATGCGTATGCAAAGCATAATATGCTATTAACTTTTTTAAACAAAACTGGAAAAAAAATAAAATGTTTAATGTGACTAGAACGTTTAAATGGATGTCTGATCTGAAGAGATTTACCGTTGTTAAAATTCTTTTTAATCCATGTTTTTAATTAATCATCACTGTTGGTGGCGGTTTTAGTCAATTAATTTTGATTAATGATTGGTCTTTCTCGTTACACACACACATACACATATTCGCACAGAAAGAGAAAGTTTGATTAATTGCGGTTAGTACAACTTAAGAATACAGGAAGTACTTCAGATAATGTATACGGGTAAATGCAGGATATTAAAGAGAATGATTCGTCGTCTTTAGGATCGCTGTGGCGGTACATTCGGGCCTCGATGTCATTGTCTGGTTATATGCCACCCATGTGTGACCCCGTTGATGGCCATCTCCTTCTCGACGGCGGGTACGTCAATAACCTTCCAGGTAATCCAGATCGCACTGATAAACGGTTACAATTTTCGCACAGTCAATAGAACCTAAAGGAAAACATTATAACGCTAATAATGGTGTCAAGATAATATGAAATTTATTTAGGAGGTTTCGCTGGGAATTTATACATTTTATCTTAATAGCAAATTTATTTAAGTCTCAAAGTTTAAATAAATTATATAATTTAGCAATTTATCTGAAAGTATCGATTGTATTTATTTTACAACAAGTTACTAGTTCTTCTTTGAAATTCAAACACGCTGACTGTCCAATTTTAGTTGGACTCTGTGTATCATTTCATATTTACCTTGGCACGATGTTGAAAATTTATTTATGAGTGTTACTGAAATAAAATTATGAAATCACGAGAAACGTCAAGCTCACTCCCGTTGATAAAAGATGCAGTTATCGAATTCTGAATAGTTAAGTCCGCTTAGGTTTACTATGGAAATATATTCGCGGCAGTATGACTATCGCGGGGGTCTTTCCTCCGATTTGCGATCCTCTTGATGGGCATCTTTTGGTCGACGGGTGTTATGTTAATAACGTGCCAGGTATTCGTCTTTTCTATCGTTTACGTTTAGTCCTGATTGTAATTTCTCAATGATCTCTTGATACTTTTATTTTTATGTACAGGCAGTATATTCCTGAAATTTGTTAGAGAAATCCAGCATGATATAAAATAAATCTAGAAATATATAAGTGATATCTAAAAGAAATAAAAATACAATTCCGTGAACAAAATCACGATGTATAATATACGTAAATTCTATATTTCTTTTTATAAGTTAAATCTTCTATAAAGTAGAGACAACGAATTGATGTTAACGCTCTCGATTCATGCATTCTCTCTGTTTCCGTTCAAGCTGACGAAATGTTGCGGCAAGGAGCGCATCACATTCTGGCCATCGACGTCGGCTCACAGGACGACACAGACTTAACGAATTACGGGGACTCGTTGTCCGGTTGGTGGTTATTGTGGAAGCGGTGGAATCCATTTGCCACACCTGTGAAAGTGCCAAATCTACCGGATATCCAGTCCAGGCTGGCGTACGTGAGCTGCGTGCGCCAGCTGGAGGAGGTGAAGAGTTCGGATTATTGCGAGTATATCAGGCCGCCGATCGACAAGTACAAGACCCTCCAATTTGCCAATTTCGACGAGATCAAGGACGTGGGATACCAACACGGTGAGAATATGTCTGTTAACATTTAATGTTAAGCCCAAATCCATTGTAAAGAATTGTAAATCGACGCTAATAGAAATCATAAAGCATATGTTATATTGTAAATTTCTTATTAATGAGTAATGAAACATTGCATATATTTAAACACATTTGTAGGACTGAAATGAATCGTGTTTTTTCAGGGAAAACGTATTTCGAAGGTCAATCAAAAGCCGGAGTTCTGCCTCGATTCAACGCGGATCGAGAAATTGCGAGAGCTTTGCGAGCGAAGTATCAAGCGGATAATCAACAGTCACCCTCTTCATACACTTTCACCGATCTCGCACAGATGGTGTGCAAAGTTTCGCGTGGTAGCCGATACATCGATCTCGATATAGATTCAGATTCGGACGAACTGGAGGAGTACGAGGCGGACTTGGAAGAAGATGCGCAAGAAGTAGGATACGCGTCTGAACCCACTGCCGGTATTTTAGATCAGGCAAGTTATATCTTTTATTCTTCATGTTATATATATATAATTTATTCTTCATATTAATCTGAGTTTTTGTATGAATAAAAATGATAAAAATCGATCAAGAAGACATATACTTCACTTTTTTCTATTTTTATTTTTTATTAGAAAAAATAGTCGATTTTAGTTGTTAAAATCACCCTGCGTATCAATTATGAATTATAGGAAAGATACCTGAAATTTTGATTAAGCATCGTATATTATAAATACAGTATAAAATAAGGTTAAAATATATATTTACCTTTTATATTGTATTACAAAATAGTAAACATTTGTATTAAATTCCTTCGCGATAATGTACAATTATAACTATTTTCATTTATTTCAGAGCCCTGAGGATAATCGCCTGAGACGAAGAACTGGCGTTTCACTTAGTCTGTCTGACACGGAGGCGGAGTCAGAACTAGAGTACCATCCAAAGATTTTTTGAATACCTGTTTTACAATTATCGCGATATCGTATATACTCGTTCAATGGAATAAATTCAACACAAACACATAACGTTACAAGTCGGATGCACTGTGAGCGACCTACATCGAAGTACAAAAGCAATTATTGCAAATATATGATCACGGGAACGTCGCTTTGAAATTATGCCACAATGCGATACGTATCGCTTTAACATAAGTAATTAATACGATTATTGTTACTATTAATATTATGTTAAATATAATTCTACGATTTGTAAAAAAAAGTTGTTTTTTTTTTTTTTTTGCTATTTCAATGTCCTATCATGTTTCTTGCTTATATATTGATATTTATCACATCTCATATTTCTCATCACAAATTATTTCGCCATGGTTACACGAGCATCTTAAATCGAATTTTTATCTTATTTTACATTTTATTAAAAATCACTGGTCATCGTCAAGTTGGGATCCAGGATAGCCAATACCGCGCCAACCATATGTAAGGATCCCGTTACAAGTACTTCTACTTTATCGTGACTGTCTGTTCGCGACGATACATGCCTTTTAATGTCGTAAAGCACTTCAGCAACGCTACTCTTCAATATCGAACTCTCGCCCCACAGGTCGCAGTGTTTCTTGCATTTCTTTTTCTGCTCGTCGATTAGCACGTAATTCGATAAATCTTCCACACTGGTCACGCCGGTATAATTTGGAGCGAAGTAAACTCTATCGAAGTTCAATGGTTTTAGCAGGTTTAATAATTTAAGAGAATTCCGGTCGCCACTGGTATTGAATATTAGGAACTTATTGGAGGTTTCTCGGCTGACTCTTTTGAACCACATTACACAATTAACGATACTCTCGATTGTGTGAGCACCATCCAGAAAGAAATCCGCCACATTGGTCTCCAGAATCTGCGTACGACCAGGCCATTTGCAATTTGCCAATGCTGTCGCGAATTTATTTAAAGAAACGATTTGTGACATATCCTTACCGCTTAGAGAATTGTAAACACTATTGATGTATTCGTCTTTTACAATGGACCGGTCGCTACGCAATTTCATCCACTCGAGTGCCATGCTGACCGCCAGTAAAGCATTCTGATACAGCACGTCACTGACGTCGATGCCTGATGTCAACAAGAAGACATCGTTCCAATCTCGATCTTGGATCGTGGAAACTACTCGCAACTCGCGGCATCTTCTCTCTATGGCTCGCTTCCGTAGAACGCGCATCGCTGACTCCGGTTGCTGCACCGTGAAAGCTGCCGCATGCGGTTTGAAGATTCCCGACTTCTGGTGAGCGATCTCTTCCAGAGTGTCGCCCAGTAGCGAAGTGTGCTCCAGACCCAGGCTCGTCACACCGACGCAAACCGGATTCCGCAGGATATTGGTGGAATCCAGTTCGCCGCCGATTCCAACCTCGATGATCGCTACGTCAACATTTGCCTCCAGGAACACGTGGAACATGAGAATCGTCAGGAACTTGAAGTACGTCGGCATGTCGGACTCGTGTTCTCGTTTTTGCTCCAGACGTCGATACACGGTCCAGAAGGAACGAGCAAAGTGCGACTGGCTGATGGGCTCGCCATTTAGCCGAATGCGTTCCCGCACGGAGACCAGGTGCGGCGAGCTGAAGAAGCCCGTGCTGAAGCCGTGCTGTCGCAGAATCGCCTCCGTAAACGCACACGTTGTACCCTTACCCTTGGTACCAGCCACATGGATGACGGACAAACTGTCCAATTGCTCCAAAGTGATACCAGACCTGTAATAATAGATTTGAAGTTAATATAGGTTTTTGAAATGACCAAACTTTAATTTAAAAAATTTACATTTAATATATTTTTAAGCGGCATTTCTTAATTGAGAAGAGAAACAAGTAAATTTTATTCAAGTGTAAGCAAGATAATCTACTTAAATTTTAATTCAGATTATTAATATTAAAATACTGATGACTTCGTTATTACCGGAGTAAATATTTTTCTGTCTCCTCCAATTTTGCAGGATTATTTGCGCCTTGCTTCTTAACTGATTGCAAATAAGCAGCGTTGCTTTGTAGACTAAGGTTTAACGCTTTTATGGCTTCCTGCAAAAAATAATATATGTATATAGCTATTTATATGTGAACTTTCTATACATGTCATATTACTCATATAACTTGAGACTTGTAACTTTTTTTCTTGAAAAGAAATTCTTTAATTACAATAATATTTTTCTACTATGTAGAGCAACACAAGCATATGCCTACTAATTTTAAATAGTCAACATAAATCAAGAAAACACAAATTTAATAAAATTAAATAATACAACTATTACATCAATTTAAATGATACAACTAAATGTAGAATATCTTCTAAATCAAACTGTCTCAGATTTTCAAGCGTTAGTCGCCAAAATAAACTGTCCTTTATTCATTATAGTGAAAATATTCCAGATTTTTTTCAATGAATATAGTAAATTGGAAGACAACAGAAAATTCTGAAATAACAAAAAAGACGATTGGCGAATGTGTTTACCTCGTAGGACCCATTAATATAGACGGAACGGCCCACAAATCCATTGTGCGTCATTCTTCTCAATAAAGTAATCATCGAGATCCACTTGTTACGCAATCGTAACAAGAACCGATAAAGTGGCTAGCCTTTTTTTATCTTTCTTACGTGTCAAAGTTCGAGTCAAAATTATTTATTTGGTATTTAACAATAATTTATTAATAATCAGCGTATGTATCCATATCTAAAAAATAAAATAAAATTAAAAAGCAATTATACCAGTATCGAAAATATAATTGATGGTGAGAACATCTTCATTGCGCAATGTATATAATAAAATACTATAATATACATTATAATAAATGTTTAAAATGTTATAATAAAAATGCAGTTAAAATTTATATTTAGAAAAATATTTAAAGAAATTAAAAATATTAAAAGAAAATTAAAGAAAACAGAAATTAATAAATGTTAAAAAATTCTGTCGAAACTTAATAAAAATCAGATAAATAAAAGAATTAGAAATTATAATTTCTCGTTGTAATTTACAGTCGAGTATGTTTTAATTCATAAATTTTTAATCTGTGCCAAGACATATATTCACATGTTTTCAATATCGAACCTCCGTATATTTTAGACAACGAATTGTATAACTAGAAATTTTGCAGGTTTGCCGGTTGAATTAATCGCTAGTTAAGTTAACTGAAGTCTGATGGAAGTCATCCTAATCACCGACTAAATTAATGAGAGCCGTCTCTTATTACAAAGACCAAAATAAAGGTGAAATTTCATGGGCAGTGAAAAGCAGCAGCAGATCGTACTGATTGGCTACAAAATAGAGAGGTTCTCGAGTTTCTATAACTTCTCTATTTTGTAGCCAATCAGTACGATCTGCTGCTGGCGCCGTTAACTATAAGGGTGCATTCGGGGAGACGCTATTAACGCTATAAACGCAAACGCTATGAACTTCGTTCGAAGAGCCAATAGCGCGACAGCGATAGCAAGCTCCCCGAACGCAGCTTAAGCGCCAATAGTATTTCGTGCCTCACCTCGAAAATAATAGCGAAAATAGCGCGAATGATGACGTCACGCTGCCTTTACAGTGACGTCATCATCGTATATCACAGCGCCACAAAGCGTCTCCTCGAACAGTTTTAGACGATAATTGTGCTAATAGCGTGCTCCCCGAATGCACCCTATGTTTTTTAGTGGGTACTTTGAAAACTAAAAAAATTAATAAATCAATAAATAAATACATATATAAAAAATAAAAAAAGGAGAAATAAAAGGAGTACAGTTTAAAGTTTAACTTTGTTAGGGTTTTCAGGTCGCACATGTGAACATTACTTTAATTTACTCGAAATTATATATTTTTGCGTATATATTGGGGGGACGCGTCTCCCTCGTAACGGGAATTATGGAATACGGGAATTATAATCGCGAACCAAATGGAAAGTTAAACGAAACAAGTTTTTAAAGAAATTGCGCCGTATTAGTCCAGCCAGCAACGTGTAAAATGGAGTACACGCACATGGCAGTTTTAACGCTAACGTAACGTTAGTCACGATCAGTTGCATAGTAATACCGCGTGATGTTTTTATTTTGTGAATTAAATCCTGCCACATGCGTTGGAGCAGTTAACATGCAATTAATTAAATATTTCTCTATTCTGCTCTGCTCTTTCTACTTCGCCATGCCAATGGTGTTATCGCATGTGCAAAACACATTATGGTACATTCACTAACACGTATTGAATTTCTACTTACCAAAGAAAAAAGCGTAGCCGCGCAGCAAATGCTCCTACGTCGCACTCGGAGTCTACTGAGCAAGTGTCGAAATCGGAGGCTCGTCTGGCCCTTTCCGCTCTTTTCTCGAAATCATCCCTCAAAGCACTATACGCTCTCAAGCCTAGTGCGCGCGCTGCGTTCTGTCATATATTAAGGTGAAATTTCATGAGCAGTGAAAAGTAGCAGCAGATTGTACTGATTGGCTATAAAATAGAGAAGTTCTCGAGTTCCTAGAACTTCTCTATTTTGTAGCCAATCAGTACGATCTGCTGCTACTTTTCACTGCCCATGAAATTTCACCTTTACGATGGCAAGGTTAGCCGCACGTTAAAATTGAATAAATTACTAGAACGCGCAACACAGCGAGTTCTAATGGCTTCTGCACACAGAACGCGGAAACGCTTGCCGCGCGGCAAAAAGCGACGCGATAGCCAATCAATGTGTTGCTTTTCCGTAAGAACCAAAAGTTTATTGGCTACCGCGTTGCTTCTTGCCGCACGGCAAGCGTTTCCACGTCAAGTGTGCAGAAGCCAAAAGTTCTAATAATTTATCCGAAATAATTACGAGTAGAGATCAGCGATTGGATAACATGTAAATTACTGGGAAATGCGACGCGTCGATTGATGCATCTCTAGTGATTTTTGCTGAATTGATTCACAGTGACCAAACCTTTGACAGGGTCTGTTTTCTATTGCTGAACTGGCTGCACTAGTTCAGAATTTATCTTTTTTACTCCACACTGGAAGGAAAAAGATAAACCTTGAACTTACAATTAGTACAGCCAGTTCAGCAATAGGGCCGGTCTACAATGGGTGCCGTAACTGTCGTAAGTCGTAAGAAATTGACCAATCACAGTCGAATTTGAGGAGAATAATCAACTAGTGATTGGTCAATTTCTTACGACTCACGATTTACGACAGTTACGACTTCCATTGTAGACCGGCCCATAAAAAAACAGACCCATTAGTCAAAGGATCAAACTCTGTCTGAGGGCCACTTCGGCCAAGCTTTGATTAACTTAATCGTTGATTAGTCAATTGGAAATGACGAATCGCATTTGTCAATCTGCTTAATGAGCAAATGCGATTGGTCATTTCCGGAGCTTGGTCGAAGTGGCCCTCCGACAGAGTTTGAGTTTTTGACTAAGGGTTGATTTATATTAGCCGTAACCGTTGATTTAAGCCGTAATTTTTAAGAAATTGACCAATCACAGTCGAATGTAAGAAGAATAATCGACTGTGATTGGTCAATTTCTTAAAGATTACGGTTTAAATCAACGGTTACGGCTATTATAAACCAACCCTAAGGCTGAGTTTCCACTGAGCGCGTCACGCGTCGCGTCGTCACAAGTTAATCAATCAAAACATCCCATTTCATTACATTCTTGTGACGGGATCAAAATGGGATGTTTTGATTGGTTCAACTCGGACGACGCGACGCGTGACGCGCTCAGTGGAAACTCAGCCTAAGTCCCAGTTAGTCCCAGTTTACAATAGGTGTTTTAACCCCTAAGCCCTAAGAAATTAACCAATCACAGTTGAATTTGAAGAGAATAATTGACTGTGATTGGTCAATTTCTTAGGGCTCAGAGCTTAAAACGCCTATTGTATATAGGCACTAATGGGTTTGTTTTTTTATGGGCCGGTCTACAATAGATGTCGTAACTGTCGTAAATCGTGAGTCGTAAGAAATTAACCAATTACTAGTTGATTATTCTCTTCAAATTCGACTGTGATTGGTCAATTTCTTACGACTCACGACAGTTACGACAGTTAAGCTGGAATCAGACAGGACGCGTCAAGCGTCAAACAGCAAGCTCAACCAATCAGCGAAACGATATTTCCTACGTCACTGTTGATTTCACCTCGCTGATTGGGTTGCTGGTTGCTGCTTGACGCTTGACGCGTTTTGTTTGAATTCAGTTTTACGACAACCCATTGTAGACCGGCCCTATTGCTGAACTTCCTTCCAGTGTGGAGTAAAAAAGATAAATTCTGAACTAGTGCAGCCAGTTCAGCAATAGAAAACAGACCCTGCCAAAGGTTTGTTCACTGTGAATAGCAAAAGTCACTAGAGATGCACCAAACGACGCGTTGTATTTCCTAGTAATTTACATGTTATCCGATGCTGATCTCTACTCGTAATTACTTGGAATAAATTATTAGAACTTATCTTCTGCATACAGGACGCGAAAACGCTTGCCGCGCGGCAACAAGCGACGCGGTAGCCAATCACCGTGTCGCTTTTCCGTAAGAACCAA